TATCACTCATCTAGCAAGAGCCGTTTCCTCAAAAACTTCAATTCTAAGAAAATGCCACAAGGGCCTTGGAGGGAAGTAGGGAATTAAACGCAGCTGAGAGGGAGAAGTTAGAGAAAGCAAGGGAGTCTACCACCTTTCCAGCTGTATTGCCTATAAACTAAGGTAGGGGATTAAGAGAGAAAATTTTTACAAAGAGAGGAGGGCACCACCAATTTCTTTTTAATTGACCAAAGATGAAAAATGCTTAAAAACATGGTGGCACACACCTCTAACATCAGCTACTCGGGAGGCTGAGGCAGGAGGATCACAAGTTTGAAGCCAGCCCAGGTATATTAGCAAGACCCTGTCTCAAAATTTAAAAAAATAAAATGAAAAGGGCTGGAGCACTTGTAGCCAAGTCCCTGGTACAGTCTGCAGTATAACAATAAAAACAAAAGGCCACCAGCAGCCCTTCCACTTCCAGATTTAGGTTTTGAGGGCTCCCTTCTCTGGCCTCTAGCTTTTAGAGACAAGTATTCAGCACACAGTATCCTAAAGGACAGACACACTGAGGATTAGGGCTGGCCTTCCCCAAGGAGACTGGCAGGCAGCTTCACAAGCATATAGAGTGTTCCAACAGACCAGCTCTTACCCGCACATTTATAATCAACTTCTAGGCCAGGTCTGAGACCACAGAGTAGAGTTTGAGGGGAAAAAATAACCCACGGTAATGAATATTTATTTATTCATGGAACCATCTGTTTGCGAAAAACAACATTTTGAGAGGTACTGGGGACTGAATCTTGCTGCCTGCATGCTAAGCAAGCACTCTACTACTGAGGTACATCCCCAGCACTTTTTAAAATTTTGAAATAAAGTCTTACCAAATTGCCCAGGCTGGTCTTGAACTTGCAGTCCTCCTGCCTCAGCCTCCCAGAGTACTAGGATTACAGGTGTGCGCCACCATGCTCAGCTGTATCTGCTCTATTCATTACTGTAAGCCCAGAGTCTAAGCTAGTGCTAGCATCAAATAGACACTCACAACTAGACTAAATGAATGAATGTGGATGACCAGATGCTCACTCCCTAGCTGGTTCCAAGTATTGGCCCATCAAATATCAATTAATACAACAAACCCATACATATTATCACACATCACCAGGCATGGTGGTGCACACCTGTAATCCCAGCACTCAGGAGGCTGAGCCAAGAGGATCGCTGAGAGTTCAAAGCCAGCCTGGGCTACACAGCAAGACCCTGCCTCAAAAACACAAAACAAAGAAACAAACAAACAAAACCCAAAACAAGAAAACATATTGTCACATATCATACGGATGAGGAGGCTGAGTTTCACAGATGACTTACCCAAAGTCACATAACTAGTAGCTGAAATTCAGTCCTGGATCGTTCCAGTACTTGTTCACTGCACTACCTAACCTGCTCTACTGACTGCATTTCCTCCTCAGAAAGCCTCCTGCACTGAAAGGAGAGAGGGCTGAGGCGCGGCAGAAACCCCGAAAAGGCCAAGTCTGGACTGTGACAGGTGCCTCTTGGGGATTTCAGGGTTTTGGTAGCCATGGGAGATGCAAGAGCTGATTGCTTCAGCGCCTGCCTATGCTTGGAAGGGACTATGTAACAGATACCAGCTGAGGGTTTTGAAAGAAAAGCTCACCCAATAAAAAGCCAGGAGAGTAGGCAGGGATTTCCACAGCCGCCTGGCAGTGGAGGTGGTGGGGCCTCCCCTAAAGGGCCTTGCTGGGCTGGGACTTCTCCAACTCCTACTCCTCTGCAGACACAAAGGCAAGGGCAGGAGAGGCCAGCGGTCTCCTTTCCCAGTAAGCGTGCATCAGCCCTAGTCACAGATACCAGTAACTGGGGAAGGGACATTCAGGAGTCGGAGGGGAGGGGGTGGGTATCTGATGATGTAAACTAATCCCCAAGCAGGTTTCCATGTTTGCTTTGTTAAAGTCCAGTTTAATTAAGTGGCCTGTACTCTGTTTGCCCCAGCTTTCAGCATCTCCTTTAGAAAGAAGGGAAATGGGTATATTTAATCTACACAGGTGGGTGCCTATGAACTAGGTCAATCCATCAAGCTGTCAAGACTTAAACTTTATATATGGGCCCTGTAGATGACAGAGGAAGCAAGGGAAACCAGTAGCTCACAAGCCTGCCTGTTAGCTTTTCTTTTTCCCAACCCCACAGCAGTTTAAAGCTGTGTGCTCTAGGCTGATACCACTGAGATCTCCAAACTTTCACAGCCTGGGTCTCTCACACCAGTCTGTGCCAAGGAAAGGAAAATAATCAGCAACTTTTAAAAATCAGCTTATACTTAGTTTTTAATATTCTCCATTCTAGAAACTATGGAGAGAAACCAAAGGAAGAGACGCACACACGGCTGAGACTGTTGGGTCTGTTTCATAGTGCATGGGAATGACCCCAGCAAACCACCCCAAAGTCCCCTCAGTTTGGTCAAAACCCTATTTTGAATACTTCAGTCACTTGTAATTGGTTCCTTTTCCAGGGAAAAGCTACATTAAGCTACAACCCCGGCCCTTTTTATTTTTATTTTGAGACAAGATCTGGCTAAGTTGCTCAGGTGGCCTTTGTGATCCCCCTGCCTCAGCCTCCTAAGCAGCTGGTATTACAGGCGTACATATATACTCCACGATGTCCATATCTAAACCTGATGCTCATATTACACCCTTCCATTTTCCCAGACTACATCTCAAGAGAGTGAGTCCACCTTCCTAAATCTCGACCATCTTATAAAATCACAAGGCCAGTTCCTGAGGTCAAAAGTATGCTTTCAGAAGAGCACTCTGTCCTACAGTGATCCCACAGTTAAACGTCAGGAAATCCGTTCAGTGGGGTGGGGTCTATGGACAGGAAGAGAATAGAGACCAGCCACATAAGAACTGTGTGGGGTGCTGTGTGGAGGCCACCTCCTCCACTGAACCCACCAGTCACGGGGGCCCTTCGGCCCCACCTGATCTGCTCCATCACCACCGTCACTGTTCACTCTGTGGGACGCCGCCATCAACGCTGCTGTCCCAGGTCTACTTAGAAATGATGCTAATTCCCCAAACACCTCCTTTCTGTTCTTTTCCTTGTTTCTTTCTTTTTAAATGTTTCTATTATTATTAGTTATTATTATTTACAAAAAGAAAGAGAAAGGGGCTGGGGATTTAGCTCAGCGGCACAGTGCCTGCCTGGCAAGTGCAAGGTCATGAGTTCGATTCCTGATACCAGAAAAAAAACAAAAATAAAATAAAATAAAATAAAAAAATAAAAGAAAGAGAAAGACCAAATGTAGACCCTTTGGCAGGTTAAATAGTAACTGTCTTATGCCTTGGTTTCCACAAATCCAAGTTAGACCCTTAGGGGCCAAATAAAAACCTTCTTGTGGTACAGCAACTGGGTAGCACACAGGAGACCTTGGGTTTGATGTCTATTAGTGTAAAATAACAACAACAACAAAACCCAGACTTAGCCTAACCCACCTGGGTGCTACCAAATATCCTGGTGCAGTAAACAAAGTGACTGGCGCTTGTACTGAGACAGCTCACACTAATGCTCTCACACTTTCCCATTTCTAACCTCTGCCCTTCTCTTCAAGGTGGGGTCAAGTTTGCCTTCCAGAAGTCAGGCCTCGCTGCCCACTGACCCCCTTAAAAACAGGCAGCCACAACACCCTTTACACCTCACTGCCCCTGTGCCACAGTGCCTTCCTTCTAAGGAGGTCCTGGGACACTCTGCAACCTGCTCAAACTTGCAATTCTGGAGGGCAGGGCTGGAATGTCCGTATCTGTCCCTGCATCTCACTTTATTCCTGGGACAGCCAAGGCGGAACACCAGGTGGAGTCCGGCTGAATAATCACTTCAACATCAAGTGGTCAACACTACCTTTCTGATGCCACGGAGCACCCCACAGAACACAGCTGGGCCTCAGAAAAGCAAACACAGTTAATCAGTCCGACTGCAGTTTCTCTATAAAGCACACTGCCCACTGTTGGAACAACTTCCAAAGTTCAAAAACCAAATTTAAAACAACAGTGTGACTGCTGCAGGCCAAAGACCAGAAGAACAAGCACAGTGGAAGTATCCCCTCGGGGGAATCGTGGGGGATTTCTCCTTTAAAAAAGTATTCCTTTTTTTTTTCCAGTGGTGTTTCCATCTTTATTGAACCCACCAGCTAAACGATTATCGTCAATGATACTTGCCCAATCAACTAAAATCATGAGGGAGGAGAACGTGGTTTGACACGAAGTAAGCACCTGGGAATAAGTGCAACTAGAAAGGAGACCAGCCCTTTCCCTTGCTCCCAGCCCTGGGCAATACTGAAGTTGAACAAAACAAACCAGATTATCACACAGATAAAGCCTGAAATCTATCATGTGTTTGTGAGTATTTTCAACCCCTGAGTCAGAGCTTCTGGGCTTTTTTTTTTTTTTTAAGTCATTATTCACTGAGGAAATAGTACCTGTACTAAAATGTTTTCACCTCTATGAACAAAAGCCACAGCCCTGGTAACCAAGAGCCGCTCCCTAATCAGCTTCCCAGAAGGGCACGAAGGGCCTGGGAGTCAGATCCCTCCACACGCCTGCTCTGCTGACCCTCGGCGCGGCAAGTGCAGTCACTCTCTAAGCCTCGGTTTGCTCGTCTACAAAAGGGGAACGTTCCTGTCTCGCCCAGCAGGTTTTTGCAGTCTGAATTGATAGGCTGTCTCTAGCAGTCAGGGCGATGAGAAATACAGTGCTGATGACCTCTACGCACTCCGCCTCTTCGCGCCCGCTCCAGTCGCCCCCCACCTTCGCCCTTTTTTAACACAGTCAGCGCTAGCCGGCCCGACCACTATGCTCGGTCGCGGTAAAAAGTTAGACCCTTAAATATGCGTAAATTACAAAGGGTGTCGTTCGACCAAGATGGGGGGATGTGGGTGCCCATTCCAACCAACACTTGCGGAAGCACGATTTCTGGGCCGCTTCCCTACCCCGCCCCGCGACGCCAGCGGCGCTCCTCACCTCTGCCCAGGACGCGGCCTCGCTCTAGGTGCCACCGGGGCACCGTAAACGTGTAGCTCTCGGCACCGAAGCCCGGGTGGCAGGGCTCCTCCGGCTCCTGGCAGAGCCACGGTGAAATCTGGAGTGGAGGAAAGGCACGGAACAGGGGTAACTCGAGGGGTTTACTCCAACGCACACCGAAACCAGCAGCGCCGCCTCTCCCTCGCTCCGGGCGTCGGGATGGGGGGAGCACCCCCACCCCGGACAGGCAGCGACGTCATCCTCTCCCTCCCCGAAACCTGCTTCCAATCCCCGCGCCCCGGACTCCCGGGACGGGGCTTGCTGGCCCACCTTCCCTTCCCGTCTCCTTTTTCATTTTACTGGAGACTTTTTACTCTTTCTGACACCACTTTCACACCTTTCTAGACCGGGAATGCTCAATCCTATGTCCTCATTCCCAGGGGCGCTCTGATCCCTTCCACCCCAAGGGCGCCCCCATTCCTACTTTCCACCCATTCTTTACCTGGCAGGTGACTTTATTTCTGTATCAGCGCTCCTTTCCTTACCTCTGGGATCGTCCCTATCACTCCTAGCTCCATCTCTACTTGTACCGAAGCCCATACAGAGGCAAACAGAGCCCCCCGAGCCTGCAGCAAGCTCCCCCACGGGGGTATTTGCTGGAGGGGTCTGCGCCCCCCTATCCCACTCGCGTCTCCGCGCAGTCCAGAGCGCCGCGCGCTTTCCAGGACGTCCTGGCCCTTTGGACCCAAACTTTCTAAAAAGAAGGGAAGCGGGGACAGCAGGAGAGGAGGGGCGCGGGGCCGGGACGCAGATCGTGGGGCCGGAAGGCGCCCCCCAAGTCAGGGCACCCCACATACCTGCAGCAGTAGCAGGAGGGCGGAGAGACTGAAGCACGAAGGGCCCATGGCGCGCCAGGCGGGGGCCGAGCGAAGGCGGGGGCCGGGCGCTTTCGGGCCGGGCTGGGCCAGGCTAGGGTCAGGACGACTCTCGCAAACTCACAGGTGCTCCACGGCTCTCGAAGCCACTGAGCTACTCAGCATAGCAGCAGCCAGGTGAGCCGCGAAGGCGCCGCCCCCGACGTCGCTGGTTGGCTGAAGAAGCACCTGCGAGCTGTAGCCAATGAGGGCGCCGCGAGGCCCATAGCTTCCTCCGCGCGCCCAGAGCGGCCCGCCCACCCATGGCTCCGCCCCCTGGCCTCTCGCGGGACCCTGGGACCCGCAGACCAGTAATAGATACTGTAAGGAGACCATACCGCACCTGCACGATTCCAGGGCCACCAAGTTCGAATCCCAGCCCGGCCGGTGGGCCACTGAGATCTGAGGTCAGAAAAGACTTTGTGTAGTGTGTCGTCCCGCCCCCATCCTTCTTCCTCTCTTCTTCCCTCTTCTCTGTCGTAGTGAGGCGCCCGAGCAACTGAGAAGAGCAGTGTTTCTTGAGCCACAACAGCTCCGTATAAATGTGGGCAGAAACAGTAAGAGCAGGTGTTGGGCGTTGAAGGTTACAGTGCCAGGCTCTGTGCCAAGTATTTGACATCGACCATCTCCTCTAATCTCATCTCCAAACAACAGGAGAGCTGTGCTACTATCCCACTCGACAGATGGGCAGCTGAGGCAGCAAGAGCTTGAGAGCAGCAGAAGGAGGTGCAGGACTGGAACCCACCTCCCTTTGATGCCAAGAGCCTTCCTCTAACTCTCAGTTTCATTTCGAGTAGCTCCTGACTCCCAGCTGGAGCTGCAGGGTTTTTGTTTTTGTTTTTGTTTTTAATTGCAGTACTGGGAATTTGGAATTGAATCCTGAGCTTCCCACATGCTACCCAAGTACTCTACCACTGCAAGCACAGTACCCCTGAGCTGCATCCCCAGCACCTCTGAGCTACATCCCCCACGCTTCAGTTCAACCTTTTACTTATTTTTTAAGTTTTTAAATTTAAAAAAAAAAAAATTGGGGGCTGGCGATATAGCTCAACAGCACACCACCTATCTGGCAAGTGCAAAGTCCTGAGTTCAATTCCCGGCACACGCACACACAAAAAATGCCGCACCAGGGATCAAACCCAGGACCTTGTGCATGATAGGCAAGTGCTGTACCACTGAGCTACATACTGAGCCCCTCAATTCACTTTTTTTATTGTTTCCTTGCAAAGACCTTTAGAGATTGCTCAAACCTGTTCTCTATAGATAACACACTCAGTGTCACTTAGCAAGTCAATGTCAGACCTGAGATCGCCTGATCCCTGCATTGGGGCTCTTAATGCCACAGCCACACCACAGTTTAACCACCTTCTCTGGAGAATTTTGTGCCCAGTAAAATAATTTTAGAATGAAAAACAAAATAGAGGGCTGGGGATTTAACTCAGTGGTACAACGCCTGCCTGGCAAGCACGAGGTCATGGGTTCGATTCCCAGCACCGGAAAAAACAAAAAGCAAAACAACAAAAACAAAAACAAAATAGACAGGCAAGGTTAGGTCTGACAGCTTCCCTGTCTGAGACCAGCCACATCTGCGTGGTTTGGTTATGCTGACAAGGATACCTCTTTTCCCTTTGTTGTCCAAGCATGGTCAGAACTACAAAACATTACTGTGCGTGTGTCTGCGTGTGTGGGTGAGTGGGTGTGTGTGCGCCAATCGATAGGTGTGTGACCTTGGGCAAGTCAGCCTTTTTGCCTATATAAGTGAGCTGATAGTGGCTAATGCAAAAACAGCCATTAAACAGAGTACTTGGTATGTAGGGTCAACTGGGCATACCAAGGCTGAAGGTTGTTCTTTTGAAAGACCCACCCTATTTCCCCCCTCGTAGGGACACCCATGTTTGGAGTATTTCAACCAGGGCTGAAGGTGAATCTGTGCCCACACAGAGCGCTTTCTTATCTGCACTGGAGAGGTGTTGTCTCAAACTGAGACACTGCTTCCGGCCAGCCCCTTCCCCCAAGCTGACCCCTTGTTTTCATGGGTTTCCCAGAACTCACCCAGCCTTTTGGATTTCAGCTTGTTGGTTCCCCTCTTAGCCCACCAGGAGGCTCAGAGGGAAAAGGCTTCGGTATTTCCTTTTCTACTGAGGCTCCTGCCCGGCTGTGCATTAAACAAGATAATGGAAATAGAGAAAGGCGTTTCCCCCATGGGGCGGCCTTGTCCGTTTATTTTTTTCTCCCAGTTATGTAAAAAAATACATATTTTATACCACCAGTGGGCCCAGGGAGCCTCTGGGGTTTTGCTTTCTTCTACCCAGCAAGCCCTGGCCTTGGAACTCTGCAGCGACTCTCGCTGACTCTTCCATTACACTCTGTTAATTCAATAAAAAAGATTTTAGAAAACAATTAGGGGCCGCAAGGACAGGTCAGGCCTGATGGCTCCTCCGACTTCTCGGCAAGTCCTTCTCCAGGCTCCAGGGAGGGTCAGAAAGGGTCGTCCCTGCCCAGGGCTGGCTGTCCATGCTGAGGAAAAAGCGCAGAGGGGCTCCTGGTGGAGGCAGGGCGCTCACTGTGTGGCAGCAGTGAGTTGCCTCAGTCCCCTTTCTGTCAGGCAGGGGTCCCCCAGGTTGGGGACCGAGGGAACCAGTCCAGTGAGCCTGCGCTCTGGCTGGCACAGCATTCAGCTTCTGTCGTGGCCACCATCTGGGTAACCAAGTCACTTCATCTCCCATAGTTCCATTTCCTCATCCATCAAATGGAGATGTCTAAACTGGACTCGGCCCACTCCTATGCTCCCAACACTCAGGGAGATTGAGGCTCAGCCTGGGCAATTTAATGATTTAGCCAGACCTTGTCTCAAATAAAAAGTGCTGGGGATGTAGCTCAGTATCTCAGTTCAAAGGCCCTAGTACTAAAAAAAGAAAAAAAAAAGAGGAAGTGTTAGTCTGTAGTTCAGCATTTGGAAGACTGAGGCAGGGGGATCGTGAGTTCAAAGCCAGCCTGAACTGCTTGGTGGAGCCTATTTCAAAAACAAAAAAGGAAATCTTGATACTACTGAATTCACAAAGTTCATGTAAGTATTCTATAAAAGTCAGCTATGAGCACTCTCTGCCCAACACATTCCCTTCCCACTTCTAGGCAAAATCCTAAATAGCCTGGATGTCCACACAACCAGCCCCTGACCCTCCTTTCCCCTACCCCCACCAGGAAGGCCTCCTAGGCTATCTCTGGTGTAGGAAAAGCTTTCACACTGGCTGGGCAGTGCTACCCTCTCAGGGTTATTTGCATTTTAAAGAATGCTGAGGGCTGACCTAGCTTCTTTCCAAGGAAGGAAAGCCTTGGAGCTAGTAAAGTGCATCTAATGATGGAGTCTTAACCTAGTGTCCAGCGGGTGCTTCTGGGAGGGATTGTATGCAACCCTGTTAGTGCAAGTGGTAAGGTCCATTGTTTTCCTTAGTGTATCTCTCTCTCTCTCTCTCTCTCTCTCTCTCTCTCTCTCTCTCTCTCTCTCTCTCTCTCTCTCTCTCTCTCTCTCTCTCTCTCTCTTTCTCTCCCTCTCTCTAATAGGGTCTCAATGTGTAGTCCAGGCTGGCCTTCAATGTACTATGTTTTGTTTTGTTTTTTGTTTTTTTGAGACAGGATCTCCCCATGCAGTTCAGGCTGGCCTTGAGTTCACTTTGTAGTCCAGGCTGGCCTCGAACTCACAAAGATCCTCCTGCCTCAGCCTACTAAGTGCTTGGACTACAGCCATGTACCACCATGCCTGGCTGTCATTTCTCAAATGGCAAGAGGAAAAATAAAAATCCAAGAGTTGAGATTTTAGAAATTTTAGGCATCAACAGGGAAAAGAAATGTGGGCCTCTGGAGATCGCTCCAGAAAGATAACAGGCCCTCCCACTGCCTGCCAACTGGCATTCTTCTCTCAGTGGGCCGCAGGCTCCAGGTTTCCCCGTTGAGACTTTCCTGGGTGTCCTGGCAGCCTGAGGCTAATGATTAATCCCCAGGTGGCCTTTTCCTTTCATCTCTTGGCAAAGCAGGTAATAATGCTATTTAGACTGCAAGGGGTGCCCCTCCCCTGCCCTCTGCTGAGAGGAGCCACCTGCAGCCCCTGGAGGGGAACCCCTGGGAAAATTGGAATTGTGGGGTTGTAGTCCAATCAGCCTCTGGGCTGCAGGCTGTCTCGGTGTGGCTCCATGCCTGCTGCCCGCCCCCCCAACCCTTGCTCGCAGGGGCTCTTGACACCTCTGCAGGGCCACCTGCCAGCACAAGGGCAGGAACTGGTTTTGCTCCTCCCTCCTGTTAGAAAAAAAAAAAAAAAACAAAAAAACGGTGGTAACTGATAGGGACGCCACCCTTTGCAGCTCAGCCACTCCCATCTGCAGTTTTATTTCAAACATGAAGTAAACAATTCTGTGTGCCGTCCTCACTCGGCATCTGTGGGGTTGGGTCCAGGAACCCCCATGGATACCAAAACCCATGGACGCGCCAGTCCCTTGAAGTGATTATAGCGTTTGCATATAACTTACCTACACAGTCCAGGCATAGTGGCACATGCTTGTCATCCCAGTACTTGGGAGACTGAGACAGGAGGAACACCATGAGTTCAGGGTCAGCCCGGGGTACAAAGGGAGACCCTGTCTCAAAACAAAATAAAAACACTTATGTACATCCTCCTGTATAATTGTGATTTTTTTGTTGTTGTTGTTTTTTTGAGACAAGATCTCACTATGCAGTTTAGGCTGGCCTTGAGCTCACTTTGTAGCCCAGGCTGGTCTCGAACTCACAATGATCCTCCTGCCTCAGCCTCCCAAGTGGTGGGATTACAGGCATGCGCCACCACGCCCGGTGTGTTTTGTTTTTTGGTAATGGGAATTGAACTCAGGATCTTGCGCTTGCCAGGCAGGCGCTGTATCACTGAGCTATATCCTCAGTCCCTTCCTCCTCTATATTTGTTTGCTTATTTAGATCATCTCTAGATGGCTTATTATACTCTTTTTAAAAATACGCTATAGCTATATACACATACTATTCACATTCTAATACCAAGGAATAGATGCAAGGGCTCTTTTTTTTAGACATGGTCCCAGGCCCCGAACTCCTGGACAGTTTTCT